AATGAATTAAGAATATAGACCAATGATTGTTTGAGAAACACTAATCAAAGCACAGTTCTGAATAGAGGTATTAAAAACAAATTTAAATAATGCTCAGATTTTTAATTATTTTCAATATGCTAGGAGAAACTGCACAGCTTTGGCGCTCTATCATATTCTTTCAAAGATTTCCTTTCCTAGAATCACAATATCTGATAGTAGAAAAACAACACCTGCATCATCTTCAGGTGTTTTTACATAATCATTTTTGTCTTTTTGTAATATGTACGGTTTTGTGTCAGTTGCTTCTTCAGGCTGGACTCCTTGCCAGGTGCCTGCCCTCTCACACACAAGACACGTACACTCCACATACTTGTATCATCTCTCTCTCCTGAGGCAGAGTGTAGTTAATTGTCTCTTGGAAACAGGAGCTCTTTACTCCTTTATTCTTCAACTGAATACAAAGCATTTGGGCCACTGCCATTATTAATTACATCGTTTAAGAAGAATGGCAATCCTAGGATTCTGAACTGGAATTCTCTAGCTTATAGAATTACACATTACCAAACTCCTTTTTCTTTGGCCTCTGTCCGAAGACAGGATACTGGGCTAGATGGACCTTTGGTCTGATGGACCTTTGACCATTCTTATGTTCCTTTAAGAATATCATCTGCCTTAAGACTAATTTATAATTAGTTACTATTATCAGGCATAGGGCAAAAAAGTATCCATTCCTCAAGAGCTGTATGCTTTTCCCCTTTTCCTTTCCTTTCCTTGTCAAACAGGATAAACTTAGTTTTCTCATCTCATTTGCTGATAATAAAACCTCTTAGGCTTCCATGCCAAATAAGTCCTGAATTTTAGAAGATATAGGCTGAAAGCTGTGGTTTACTTTAGCAAATAGGATTAATCCATTCTTTCTATTTCTGCATCTTTGCTAAGGGTGAGCAATAGCTATTTTGAAATCCTTCTGGGGAACATTAGCTTGTTTTTCATTTGAGTCATTAAACAAAATAATTGATAAACTCCTTTATGGCTTCAAGCTGAGCCTAAAGTGTTTGTCCCTCATTAAGAATTCAGAGCACCAGGTTTCCAGTAGCAAGTTCTTTAGAGAGTCTTGTAATGCTACTGAATTTTTGATTCAACTATAGGAATCACTTTTCACCTAGATGTTTCTCATTCAAGTCTAACAGCTCTTTTGTGACCTGGGAGTAAACCAGATCCAGTTAGTTTCTTTTTTTTTTTTTTTTTAAGAAAAAGAAATCTCACAGTGCTGCTTGAACAGGACATCCTAGAACAATGCTTCTTAGTCTTTTCTATCTCATAACCCCATTCTAACAGAAGACAGTGGTAAGACTCCCTTTCTGCCTAGTCATAAAGAAAGATGGATGATCATATTCCTCATGCCAGGCCTCAGTGAAGCCTACAAGTTGAGAACACATATCTGGGAGGTACTTGGAGAATGGCTACATATGCTTGTGGAGGAAGAACAAAGTCTCTCAAATATCACATTTCTCCTGTTATAAGAGTAAGAGTAAGGCAGATACAGACAGTTTTCACTCATTTTTTTAAGGAAACTCTGGTTGTGCATTGGGACAGGGATTATAATTTTTTCCTATAAATTTGAACTGTATGTATCAATCACAAGTGAAAAGCTCATCATCTGCAGATGCCAAGAAGATAAAGTTTCCAAAATCAACTAGCATGAACAGATGGCTGTTCAGATTTGTAATGGGGATAAAAGTCTGCTTACTTTGTACAAACAGCATAAAGATTCAACCACAAAACACAGGAGGTATTTAAGTTATCTTATACAAGTCAGCGCTTCCTATTTTTGTCATTTGGTTGCAGCAGTCATTTCCAATGGTAAAATATAAAAACCTAACATTTAAAAAAATTACAGAATACAAAAAATAAAATGTGAACAGGAAAAACTGCCCCTTTTATGGCAAATAATCATGGCAATATATTTAATTATTTAGTTGGATTTAAAAAGATTGTTACTCTTTTTTAACAGTAACAAATGTTGTAGGGACATAAGCAAGTAGTTGAGTACTCAACTACTCGCTTTCCCCTCCCCTTGCTACCTTTGTATGAGAGTGAGCGGAGGAGGGGAGGGGAAGTGAAAGTGAAGAAAAGGGGGGGGGCGGCGACACAGGAGCCAGTGCTGGGTGGGAGTCGGATTAAAAGCCACTTCCCCCAATACTGGCTCTGCAATGCCACCTGCCCTCCCCCGCACCTCTGACAGAAGCAAGGGTGGGAAGGGTGGAGTTAGGGGAGGATGCTACGAAGCAACCTCTGCCTGCGGGCAGAGACTGCTCCGGTAGCCACTCCTGCCTGAAGCCAGATCGGGCCGTTGCGAAGAAGGGCTACTGGATCCAGTGCAAGCCGGGACCAAGCAGTCCCAGCTCACGTATAGGATTGCTGCGCCTCTGCATTTTAAATGTAGTAAGAGCCGCTGGGCTCCTACAACATTTAAAATGCAGAGGAACAGCGATCCCAGAGCTAGTGCGAGCCAGGACTGCTCAGTGCCAGCTCGCAACAGTTCTCAAAGCTACCCCCGCTGCGGCTCTGCAGAGTGGCTCCCCTTATCGCCTAACGGTGTAGCCAATACAAATTGTATCAACTGCACAACTAGCGGAATAACTGCTCTTTAATATCCTTAAAATGTTGGTTCAAACATTTAATACTGACAATACATTAACTGACCTCTAGAAATAACAGAACTTTAGGAGACAACAGGGTGAGAAGGATCACAGAAGCTGTTCTCTAAAGATCTTCAAAGACTATTCAGTACAGTAGCGATAGGGAGAGCCTGACTTTCCATAAAAGAAGGGTAAATTTGTGGTAGCAATCCATTGTTTCCTATATTAGTCACTTCCACTACACTAATCATAGATCTTCTATATAAAACATTATGATGTCACAAAGTCAGCATAATTTTACTTTTAAACATTTCTACCAGAATTTTTGTTAAGGTATATTTTTAATCTTAATTTAATAGACCCATAAATCAGGAAACACAAGATTTAACATTTACATAAAATATTAAGTTGTATTTAATGCATTATGTTATGTACTTAAGAGTATAATTTTTACCCCTGTAAGCCGAATTACTCCCAACGTACAATTCAGGCAACAAACATTGCTATGAGAACCTTGTCTACTGCAATTCTTAACTTGGGAGTGCTATTTATAACCTTAATATTATATCAATGTAGATATTAAATACAAAAGTTTACATTTATGCAAGTTTTCCTGATTTGATCCATACTAAGGATGTTAGATATCATGTAACTGCATAAAATATTACCAGTTGCAAAACTAACTGATAGTCCCTAGGGGCAGCAGCTAGTGCACTCCAGCCCCACTCCCAAGAAGTCCTCCGCTATCCCATGGTACTGCCTCTCTATCACAGAGGCTTCTCCGTGAGATATGGAGCAGCCTCTGTCCATGGGGAGCTTGGAAACCCCCCCCGTGGACACAGGCTACTTCACAGCAGCCTCTCCTGCCCTCCCCGCACTGCTGTAATGCACAGTGGGGGGCAAAGGGAGTGTCCTTGGGAACCAGCTTGAAAGCTGACTCCCCACACGTTATTGCCTCCAGCCTGCCCCCCTCACCTTCCACATTGCTGCCTCTCTAACAGAGGCAGTGGGGAGGAGGGAAAAGGAGTGGAGGCAGATCCAGTGCTTGGGGGGAGCCTGCTTAAAACCAGCTCCTCACAGGCACTAGCTCCTGTTCCCCCTTGCTGCCTGATACTCCCCGCCTTGCTCCCACTGCGACTGAATGAAGTCGAGGAAATTAACCAATAAGTTTAGGCTTATCAGTTAATCGTTTACACAACTATATGCTAACATCCCTAATCCATACTAGAGAAGCTATACCAGGATTAGGGATGTAAAATCCAGGTTAATCAGTTAACCAATTAAATGTTAGGTTGCCCTAACATTTAACTGGTTAACTGATTAAGTGGGATTTTACTGCTCCCAGTCCCCATCGTGGAATGGCCCCTGCCAGACAGGGACTGCAGGAGCCTGCCTGGAGCAGCCCTTGCCTGCAACGCACCCAGAGGGCTGCAGACAGGGGCAGCTCTGGACACCCAGAGCAGCAGTGTCCATGGTAGGCCCCGCAGGCCTTGAGCAACCCCCTACCCACAGCAGGTGGGGAGCTGCTCCTGCCACCATCGATTAATCAGAACCGGTAAGCAACACCTGTTAAGAGTGATACTTACCAATTAACCAGTTATCCTTGTCAGGATTGTATTTCCAAATCCTGCAAGTTTTTCCCGTTTTTCTAATCACACAAAATTCTAACACAATTTTAAATACAAAAATGTCATTCTTAACAGCATCAGGCAAAAACAGTAACATCAAACAAAAAACTAAAGGAAGAATGAAAGTATACTGGTTTTACACAGAATGGAAGCCAAAGATGATATGCTTAATCTCACCAGGCTTTGTTTCAATAAAAAAAAATCTTGGTTCATTAATGCAGCAAAAAAACTTGGTCCATTATACATCTTCCTCTTCAAACCATGAAAAATGGTAGTAAGTAATACTTTGTACCCCCCTGTACAAGTGCATTTGTGAACAATTTTATACCTTACTCAAGACAGTAAACAAAGACCAAAGAACTGCGTAAGGAGGGTCAGCAGACACTGTGATTTTTCTCTTATATAGTTTTACTCAACATCGAGCAGCCAAAGTCTTAGAAATCAAACCCTGTAGATGCAATAGATCTTTCAAGCAAACACCTCAATATTAGTTGCTATGGGTTAGATCCTGCAACTTGTCCACACGGGTGCAAGATGCCTAGGAGTGGAGCCAGCATAAGAATCTAGCTTTTAGGATTTAATGCAACTTTAATGGCCCTTGGAACAGGCCCTAAATACTGAGGGACAGAACTCTTGAGTATTTTGCTAATATTCAGCATTTCTATTGCTCCTACATATGGTCTGTGTTTCACTTCTTCCCCCTTTGTGGTCTTGGCCAAATATGTAATCTTCTTAAAAAGATACTTACCTGCATTTAAAATACTGTATTCCTTCATGGCTGCCATTATGTTTTCCTCTTTGTGGATTGTCCCATTCTACTCCAAGCCAAAGTCCTTAAACAATAATAATACATTGATTAAAAAATATTTTTTAAATGGAGTTCAGACATTTTCAACCCAGTATGTGTGATGTGGACATAACAGTTTCTCCATAGAAAAAGGTCATAACCAGTTTCCAGTATAGATGGACTTGCATGTAGGCCTTATAATTTTGACCTTCAACAATTACTGTGGCTTGAAAGTTGTCTCACTTGCTTTGAAGGCAATCATAGAATCACAGGGTTGGAAGAGACCTCATTGAGACCAAAGCAGGACAAACCCTAATTAAATCTTCTCAGCCAGGGCTAGAGTTTCTAACACATCCCTAAGTAACCCATTCCAGTACTTCACCACCCTCCTAGTGAAATAGATTTTCCTAATATCCAACCTAGTCTTCCCCCACTGCAACTTGAGACCACTGAAAAATGTGTCTGCAGATTTGCTCCTTCTAGTTCTCGAAATGTATACTTATTAATATTTTTAACAAAAGCTAGATTCTGGATGAGATTATTAATGTGGAACTGTTAAGGAATGCCTCAAAAAGGCTCAAGTTTCTGGAGAGAGAAAAATCAGGAACAGGGAAAGGGATCCAGGATTATGCAGGGTCTGACAGAAAGGTAGGAGAGGGACTGTTGTCTCTCCCTGAAACCAGGACCACAAATGGGGGTTTGTGCCAGCACAGAAAGAATCATCAAATTTTACAAGTGCTACGCAAATTATACATATATTTCCCTCTTCTGGGCTAATGACTTACAAAGTCATTTTCCTAGGGGTAGTTTAACCCAGGATGTCTGAATCAGAAAGCTTCCTCAAAATTTAAGAAATGTCAATAAGAATTTGGTTTAAGAAATTACATACCCCAACTGTGTATAAAGCTCCAGTACACAGAAAGGGTTCTGGAGACACCACCCAGCCTTACTGTTTGTGTAAGATATAATAACTTTAAGAAAACTAATGTTCAGTCTATGAGTTTGCTGCAAGGTATTCACCCTAGGCCATCTCTTGTTCTCTTTCTTCAGCATTCCTTTGCTACCCCAATCCAGTGAGTATATTCTAAGAGAGTAACGGGTCCTTCCATAGTAGGGATGCTAGATAGCATCACTCTAGTATCATCCATCCTGGAATAGTGTGACACTGTATTTATGATAAAAAGGTCACTAAATACAAAGGGATTACTATCCTAAGAATAAGACATCGCTATAATAAGGGTGAGGCTTCTGGTCACTAGACTACACCTCTACCCTTTCTAAACTACTTTTATGACTTCCCCACATCATCAGTTACATTAAAATATAATTCCATTTTACTTCAGGTATTATGAAACCATTGGAAATTGTAGTACTAATGGGACTGTATTGAAGTTAACTGTATTTTACAAGGCTACCAAAACCTTAAAACCAGATAGCATATGGCACTATGATCTGCAGCTACTGGCTTCTCATTAAAAGTTAACCATTACAGATACAAAACATTAACTTTACCTGTTGTGGGAGGAACGCTACCAGCATACCGCACAGTTGCGTATTCGGTATCACAGAGAATTCTTCGACCAAGCACATCAGAAGGCACGCTACTAGTCATTGTGAGAAAGCAGGAGTCCAAGACACTTAATTAAGGACCTGGGAAATGGAAAACAACATTGTTGACTATGCACAGGTGCTTTTAAATTTAAAAACTGTGATTGTGTTTGTCATTATCCATAATTTTATCTTAGAGATAAGAAAATAAAGTTCTTCATCTGTCAGCCAGGCAAATGCTGACTCTTCTCCATCTCACTCTGATTTTTCTATTATTGTTACTGGAATAGCTATGGAAGTGCCACTTATTACTCAGCAAGCTTTTTAGGAACAGGGCACAATACAAACACATCTTTTTCTAAAGATCATTATGCAGATTTTCACTCCTGAGTTTCATGCCTCCAGCAATGTGGAAAACTACCTGTAGTTTTTAAGACTGACCCTCTAATCCAGTAGTTTTTAACCTGAGGGCTCACAAACCATGTCTAAGGGCTCCATGAAAAAGTGTTGCCAAAAACACAGAAGTGTGGTTTTCAACCTGTGGGGCACAGAATAACTCTAAGATTTCCAACAAGGTCTGCACTCCCATTTGAAATGTGGTAGGGGTCTGCAAATAAAAGGCCACCACCCTAATCCACCAGCAGACCATCTCAAAGACTCTGCTTTGTTGGGCATGCTCCCACAACTGCATATTTGAGACAGAGTCTCACATTACATAAGCTCAAAGGAGAATCATAAAGGGTATTATTCTTTCTCCAAAGACACAGTCACTACAGATTTTCCAGTAAACAATACAATGTCTAGCACTGCACTATCCCTTAAGAAAAGAACTAACGCCAGGCAGCTAGGGTTGCCAGGTGTCCGGTATTTGAGCTTTCTGTCCGGAAAACAAATCGAGAAAATACCAGGCATATAAATGTCCAGTATTTTCTAAATAAGTAAGTTTTATTATTATCTTGAGTATCAGTACGTAGTTGCATACTGCCTGGCTGGTAGACACGCTCATGCTGCATGAGCATGTCTACCAGCCAGGCAATACGCAATTATGCAAAGGAGAGAGGGGTGGGGGTAGCAGTGGGATGGAATCCCCGGGGCCATACTCGCCCGTGTGCTCTGCCGGGACTGTGCACGGGATGGGCAGCACCTTGGGATCTGCGTGCGCCTGGGCCAGCCCTGCTGGCTGGTTTCCCCCAACCCTCTCCCGACCAGCCCTGC